TAGTATACTTCAAGTATGATGTAAAGTTCACTTAAAGAAAACTTACGAGTATACTTGCAGTATAAAACTACGAAACTAGTAGTTTACTGAGACTATACTTCAAAGTGGTCTAAAAATGCTACTACAAGTATTTAATTAGTAAACTATCAGTATACCTATAAGTTCACTTTTAGTATAGTTGCGGTACAAACTAAACATTTTGATGTAAACTAGTTGTGTACTCTAAGTATAACAGTAGTAAACTTTAAGTATACTTAAAAGTATACTTTTATATACTAGAAAGTGGGCCAATTTAGTCCCAAGGAGTATTGAAATAGTACACTTACAAGTATACTACTAGTACACTGATATTTGTATACTTACTACATAAAGTATACTTAAAAATATACTTGAACTTTACTTAAGTATACTTACTAAAATAAACTTGAAGTATACTACTTTTTGGTAAGGGTTCTCGGTTTGGCCAATTTAAGCATTCATAAACAAGGCAAAACACTGGCATTTTGAGTTTCTGCTAGTGATACCTATGGAGAGAAAAATCACTTCCTGCCCCCCAGCTGCATTTCGCGCGTCATCAGTGACGTCATGTGCAAACAACCTATTGTTTGGTGATCCGATTCTCGAACCGCTCGCTCCACTTTCCTCATGGATATATAAGCCATAACAATAACATTAAATTAATAAGAAGATGCCTATCACGGAAACTAATAGCAGAGTTAGGTAAGAATCTAGTCATATTGCAGTTTTCTCGATTGTTAATATAACTGATTTTAGTTGGCACTTTTTCCCCCCAAACCATTAATTCAGTTTTCAAAACAAAGACACATTTCTCAAAAAGTTTAACAATGAGTAAGTTAAACATTAAGTAGCAAAACTGATGACACACCAATCAGAATCTCTGCATGCTAATAACGGAGAGAGGAGGGAGCTGAGCCAATCATCTACAGGGGTTTTATACTTACACATACAATTACAGTACAGTACCAGTACATTAGATCATGGAAATTTCACTATTCTATATGTACAGTAAACTGTAGCACATGTTGTACACCTTCAAGCATGTGACTGTCAAATTTTTTTTGTAACCATTTTTTATGTGTACTGCATTTTTGCAGAACTGAGAAATGACTGCCTAGATATAGCTAGTCTTGTGTAAGAGACCAAGAAACTGCTATAGTACTGTATAATGTAATGCAACTTGGTCAAATGTGCCGAGGATGCTAAATTTCCTTTTATTTTTTACTGTACTGTATTGTGGTGCATGCCAAGTTCATACAATTCTTTGGTATTTGAACTTTTCTAGTGCTTTTCATCTACTGCGAGATTACTTTACAGTAGTAAAATGAAAATGATTTTTTCCCAAAAGTCCATTGCTGAATTATACATCTGTATCTGTAATTTAATTTATGTATACTGTAATAGACACTGAGCTGCAAAAAGAATTCCTGAATCCTAGTAAGAATTTTATGTTACAATGCTATTGATCTCAGTGTTCACTTTACGAGCCACCCAGTCCAGTGTGAATCGAGGTTCTACAGCGTGCCTGAGTCTTGCACAAAATGCCATTGAATCGCCAATATGACCTATTGAAAGGCTCTTGCACTCAAACAGACACTGAAAGTAATCCCTGGTGGAGAGTGGATCTTATAAAGACGTATACAATTGCATCAGTGGCTCTTACCAACCCCGGTGACTGCTGCTCTGAGAAACTCAACGGAGTGGTGATTCACATTGGAGATTCACTAGAGTCTGAGGGCCGTACAAACCCGGTGTAAGGAGTGCTATTATTTGCATAAAGACTTATTTTAATATTATTATTTAAGCAATATTACATGAGCAAGTGTGCTGTGTGTTCAGACAAACACCATGTGATATTGCTTTAGTACAACTATTAAACAATTTGATATTGTAAAACTTAATATTGAGTTACTTTCATTTTAGACACATCGCCTGTTTTACTCTATTTAATGGCTCCAGGGACGATAACTATAATGATAAATCTGAAGTTATTCGTTCTATCTAGAAATCGTTCTAAACTTAAAAGAATAGTGGAATCCACACCATAACTACAGCGATAACAGTACATAGGAATGATATAATTGGAATCGATGAATTAACAGCCAATCAGAATCCACCTGAATTTTAAAGGCTTGTGCATTTCAAGCAGCAGACGACAAAACTATGGAACCCGTTTGATAAACAGAACGTTATTGTCTGTTGGTGTGGCACTACTATAGTTATTGTTATAACTCTTGTCCTTGGTGTGAACAGCCCTTGATGCCGTTTCATTTGCCAAATTAATATTTTGAACTAGTCGGCTGAACGAGTCAATGTCTCCAAGGGTCGAACAGGGTTTTTCACCTTTGAAGAGCACTGCGAGAGGGGACCCCACTTGAAGGGTCATTCCAATTAAAGTGAGCAACTTAACCCATTTACAAAATGTCCTTCAAAAAGGCCATTAGTGAATGGTCACTTCAAGGAAATAACTTCACCAGTTATGATCACGTGAACTTATCAGTTCCAGACGCTGAATTATTATTATTTATTTACATTTTTTTGATACAGTCAGTGTATACACGCATTTTCATCACGTCTTAATATGTAGTTTAAATAAGAAATTTGTTTTTAGGAAATTAGGTTGTCTTTTGAACAACCTAATTTTGAAGACAGAAAGTGTTGCATAAATACACAACATGTATGATTCTTAAGGCATAATTGTATTTCTACTCTCGCTTCCTTAACTCTCACTCTTATTCAGGTGTGTTAAAGTGTCCTTCATCCCTGCGGGAGGGACGGGGACGTTCAGGTGTGGAGGTGCACTTCAAGGCTGTTATGTGACTTTGGCTCTTCCAGGGGAAAACAGGACTCTGAGCTTGTGTGAAGTGGAGGTGTCCGGGCTTCCAACAGAATAATATAGATAACGCCTTTTTTTCAGCAGGCAAATAACAACCCACCTAATTCCTATATGGCTTAATAATTTATGATCTGATCATATTTTTATAATTCCTGCCTACACCCTGTTTGTTATCTATACCTGTTACAGATATTTGCATGGGAAACAAAACCCATGTCTTAAATGCTCAACGTAACATGAAAATAATGTCTTACTTTACTTCCAGTAAAATATATAAGCTAATATGAATGTTATGATATTTATATCAGCCTTTCTGAATAAAATTGTTCACAACAACCACTTGATGTCACTATTGCTTTACCTTCACTTGAAGGAAATATTAAGCAACTTCTTGAGAGTGGAAAATATGCAATTACAATAATACTATGTAAAGACTGCTGCTTGATTCTTTCACCCTGAACTGAGAGTTAAACCCAGGTAAACTGTTTCTGTTGATCCCAAACCAAAAGCTAACATGACAGACATCACTAAATCAAAAGTGACCATTTCTTGTAAGATCAATATTGATTCAATAGCTTTGCGAGATATGTGTTCAAAACCGTGCTGACGTTTGGGATCATTCATTGTTATTTTGTAAACAGGAATCAGCCTGTTTCTTTCCGCAGTGAATTGAGAATGACAACTTTTCATCATCATAATTGAATTTGGAGCAGCTGTATGCTTTGAAACGAGGTTGTCCTTCTGGGAGACCATCTGTGCTTAATTCTTCAAAGCACTTGGATAGATTTTTTTGCAAGCTATCTGTCAATATACCGTTTTATGGACAAAATACTGTTGTGGAAAAGGATAAAATGTGAATCTGATTACTTTATTGATGAAAAGGACAGCTCTACAGTTTTGACAATTATTTGAGCAGTTTTGGCATTCCAATGCATTGTCAAAGATGACAAATTGTCATTTGTGCCAGTCAAGAACATGAAAATTGTATACTATATAAAAATATGCTAATATTAAATACATATTTTCAGACTCACATTTACAGATGGAATAGACGTTTCACTCTAGTCAAGGTTACAAAGGCTGAAATATGTAAAAGGAATCATTAGATATGATAAAGCTTTGTGATAAGAATATATGGCATTAGAAAAATCCTCATCCTGTCTGTCAAAGCTGTTATATTGCACTACTGGGACTGGATTACTATGTCTAGAAAATATAAAAACTTACTGATGTTTCCAATTTTACATTAAGAAGATTTTTTTTAAGCTGCAAAAAAAAAATTATAATAATAATTGGAGTATGTTTTACAACAAAATATCCAGTGTATCCAATCACATTATTGTTAAATGCAGAATCTGAGTGGAAAAAATCTGTGCAGTGCAGGTTTTTGCTGTTTTCCCACAAGAGAAAGACTAACTTTGAAATATGTACATCTGCTAAAAGTTATTTTGTCACTGCTTACAAGTAAATTAGCAATTGCTGTCAAATCTGAAAGACATAGACTAAAATACACAAAAATCTAATTCTAATGAGAATCTACCATCAGAGGTCAACAGGAGCATACTAACCAGCCAAACCTTTTCTTTGGATAAATGAAATGACACACAAATGCAATCAAACAAACTAGCAGGGCTTTCTGACCCTCAGTGTAAGAAAATAAATCATTCAAGTAGCAAAGACAGGAAGCATATTGATTAGGCAGGAGCTCCAGATGTGTAATTCGGCAAAATACTGAAAGAGTAATTGAGTCTCTCTTCTTCATGGCATTATCTGACTGGGTCAATTTGCACTTTGCCTGATCAGGTCAGCGCTCAGGGCGGATGAGACTCCTGCCGTGCCTTCCACACTGGTACTGAGACCAGCTCGAGTGTGCATAATGTATAGAGGACCACAGTCTATAAATTGCATCTAACTAAACAAGTTGTTGGAGAGCTGTCAGCATAACCCTTACGTAACCGCAAAATTGCAGCCATTTAGCAGTTAGAAAAGTACACATTTGGCTCTTAACATACTTCTTGCTTGAACAAGGTTTTGCTGGAGATTCAAATAGAAAGTCTGCAATATTATTACTTAACTTAATTATAAATTAATGTCTTAAAAAGTCTGCCCTTATATACTTTGTTAAGAATAACACTCTCTCAGAATTAAAGAAAGAAGACAGCTTGTCATCTGTTTCTTGGAACATACACATATATAACTTCTAGCTTCACCACCCTTGTTCTAGATTTAAAAAAGGCGTAAGGGCACATGGATAACTTCCATCCAATATAATTTACAATTAGCATACAGTTTGGATTGTTTTTTTTCTGGGCAAGAACTCTTCGCCCATCCATGCAGCCTTGAACAGAAATGAAACAACATTAATACATTACGTTTTTGATAATAATGACAATGTCGGCTGATGCAAGCTTGACTAATGTGACCAGCCAAAGCTAGCACTATATTGCTTTATAAATGTAACAAAAGTAATAATTTAATGCACAATGCACTCACAGTGGCCATTTCACTTATGGCATGGATATTTGAAGCTGCAGTCCGTAAGTTTTGCCTCTTTGTCGCCATCTCTGTTTGAAAACTTGTAATTGCAGCTGTGTGCGGAATTATCTTCCTTGCGGGGGTTGTGAGCCGGCACGGCTCCAGCGCGGATGAATCTAATGTTCTGAAGAGTATGTGTGGCAGTCAGTCACCGCACCTGTGTGGATATTTACTGTACTTCGCAATCACAGATTCTAGCCTACGTCTTGGAATATATGACCCAAATAAGAATTTTCACCGTATATTGTCATCTGAACAAGTAATGCCGAGTTCACACTGCACGATTTTACCCCGATTTTTCACTCGCTGACAGGTTTTGCCTACAGCCAATGAGAGACCAAGATACAGGGCAGCGGGAAGTTCGGGGAGGAGTTATATGAAACGTAGTTTGTAGACCAGTGTTGCCAAATCCACGATTGCCGCCGGTTGTTTTTTATGTCAGGCCCTGGAATGTGAATTGTACCAGGAGAACCCCGCCAAAATTTTTTTTAATTTTACCCCCCCGAACGCGATTTTTACTGGGGGACCCCCTCGAAAGCAATTGGGCTATTTTCAGGCTAGTTTTGAGTAGTAATTGGGTGGGTTTTGTAGTGAAAACCTGGCAACCCTGCACCAGACAGAGCTGTCGGCGATTCTTCCTATTGTAAAGTCATGCAGTGTGTAACCTCCTGTCGTTGTTCCATCGTGCAGTGTGAACACAGCAGCAACTGAATGCTACCCCAGATAGTCGTTCAGTGTGAAACCAACAGTGATGCGACGTCTTTGAAAATCGTGCAGTGTGAACTCGGCATAAGTAACAAGTCTGCCACGTTTGTTCTGACCAACTGAGGAAAAAGCATTACAATAAATCGCGCTACCAGTGGTGATTTCCTCTATATTAGCTCATATCACATCAAACCATGCAAATTATTATTATTGTTATACTTTATTCTCAACCTATTAATGTTAACAACATCAGCATTGCGTGACTATGAGTATATTGTGTATTAGTGTGTAGATTTAAATTTTTGGACAGTCTAATCCAGGGGTGTCCAAACTCGGTCCTGGAGGGCCGGTGTCCTGAAGAGTTTAGCTCCAAACCCAATTAAACACACCTGAACCAGCTAATCAAGCTCTTACTAGGCATACTAGAAACTTGAAGGCAGGTGTGTTGAGGCAAGTTGGAGCTAAACTCTGCAGGACACCGGCCCTCCAGGACCGAGTTTGGGCACCCCTGGTCTAATCTTTAATTGTCATACCATTCAAATTTCATATTAAGAAATTATTTTAACCCAAAAAGCAAATTATGCTCCCTTCGAACTGGTTGTCTTTCAAATATAAATCTTGTTTAATCCCAGGCTAATCTGTAATCAGAAGCACATTTAAAACTGGAATATAATTTCATTTCATTCACATGTGTTTCATAAACACATAATCCTTTCTGGATTACAATCCGCCATCAAATTGATACATTTAATTATTCTAGCTGCTGTGAGAAAAGGCTATAAACGATCCGCCACCTGCAGGATCCTCACATGCGATAGCCTAGTAGCCGGGACAACTTCTTTATGTTTACAGAAGTGATGTAATGACACGGCAGCATGCTCAAATTTCCTGCGAAAACCTACCCATACCACTCAAATTAGAAAGCATTATTATAAGATAACCGTTGTGAATTAGGCTAAAGTAAGGCTATAGCTTTGAACATTGGCTGGTTATGTACTTGCTCAAATATTGATTTAGGATCATTTTTAACCATAAAAAGTTACGGACTGCAGCTTTAACATGGATAAATATGCTGTTTTCTGATTTGATTTTGTCACAATTTTACCCACACACACACACAAATGTAACAGCTGTTTTTAGAGTGGAGGAAATAAGGGTCCTATAAAGAATACACAGAAGGCAACCAAGCAAATATTTCCCATAACTGTTTATAAATGTGGACAAAGCATAGATTTGAAACATGTTTTACTGATTATTAAATGTCTCTTTAGATTTTGAAGTTTATTCAAATATATATCAACAGTATGAGTGAGTTTCACGCCAGTTGATAGAGTTGTTATACTTGCCAATTAGGCCAGTGTTCACATTCTTATGTTTCAATGTTTTGTTGATCATGTACATGTGTTTATGCCCAGCAAACATTTGTTCTGTGTTGTATTGAATATTTTTGTTGTGATTACTGAAATGTTACCAAGGTTATCTAGCTAGCTGCCAGAGCTTTTAATTGATTGGAATTGTCCTGGAATTACATTATTATTTTAATTATATGAAATAATTTGGCATTAATTGTTTAGTTTTTGTATTAAATATATTTTATATTTATAAATGAATTTATTAAAAAAAAATTATTTTGTAATATATGAAAAAATATATATTTCTATGTGTAAAAATGTTGCTAAAAATAAAATTTACAGTTTTATGGTTTTAATTTATGGCTAGTGAGTTGAGCCACTATAAAAATTAATTGCAGTCGTTAAATTCTTGTTAAGCCCTGCTATGTTGGCATGAATCTAACTAAATGGATTTGCCCATGTTCAC